GGTGCAATAGGACCAAGCCATACATTCGATGTTAATCTCGTCATTGTCCGACGAGGTTATGCATTTGGCGGTTGGCAAACGTACTTCCTGACAGGTGTGTTTGGCGGTCGAGAAGGGTTCAGAATCAGTGGCGGCTTTTGGTTCGACTCATGGGAGCTTCAAGGTCTTCGGTAAGGTGATGAATCGATGGGGGATTACCTTGGTCATGCGCATGTGATCGTCGAAGACCTGGAGTTGGTTGGTCGATCGGTGAGTCTTGACGATCAAAACATATATCTCTTCCGAGGCCTTCGTTCGGAGTTCCGGCCGTTGGTGGCTACTCTGACAGCGAGAGGAAAACCAGTGACCTTGGCGGAGCTTTAAGATTTTTTGTTGGCAAACGAGTTTATCTGCAGTGACGATTATGTTCTTGTCGGTGTTGGGGCTGCTCCGGCGGCCATGGTGGCTCAGGGAGGCCGTGGCAGAGGCGGACGTGATGCTTCGTGTGGAGAAGGACCTGGACATGGCCGTGGCCGTGGTCGCTACAACTCCTCGCGCGCTGCCAGATTTGCGAAAACATACTGTCGTTAGCTGCTTCCAGCGTTACTTACCAGTAGGTCCTCCACGTGCCAATATGGTGTATGTCGCGGATGATTCTTCCTCACTGGGTGTGCATAACTGGTTTCTGGATACGGGTGCTACGAGCCATGCCACACCAGATCCTAGTTTGATGTCCACTGCCACTGATTATACATGTTCGGATGTTCTTCTGGTTGGGAACGGTTCAGGTTTGTTTATACGTAGTGTTGGCCATGCATCTATTTCTACTCCGTCTCATTCTTTTAAATTATCTGATGTCTTACATGTTCCTGGGTTATCTGCGTTGTTGTCGTTTGTCCAACGTTTTGCTACTGATAATCGAGTCTTTTTTGAGTTTCATCCAGATTTTTTTTTTTTTTTCTTTTTGTGAAGGACCTCACTATCAAGGTGGTTCTGTTCAAGGGGAGTAGTTCTGGTGGTCTCTATTCGTTTCCGGTGTCCAAGTCTAGTCTTGCTGCGTTGTTGTCTGCTCGGGCTTCTCCCTCGGTCTGGCACAACCGGTTATGCGATCCTCATCATCGCGTTCTTAGTCAGATATTAAAATCTTGTCCTACTTCGTCTACTAGCATTACTGATTCTTTGTGTTCTGCTTGTCAATTAAGGAAGTAGGCTCGTTTTCCACTTCCTCGTGTTAGTTCATCTAGTTCGCATATTCATGAATTATTGTATACCGATGTTTGGGGGCCTACGCCTTTGTTATCAAATAAGGGTTCTCGTTATTTTGTAATTTTCGTTGATGATTTTTCACGGTTTACCTGGTTTTATCCTATGCGTCATAAATCTGATTTATATGTGATTTTTGACCATTTTTGTGAAATGGTAGAATGTTCTTTTTCATGCAAAATTAAATCTGTCCAGTCTGATTTAGGCAGTGAATACAAGAAATTGCACTCGCGTTTTGTTCAATTAGGTATAATTCATAGACAGTCATGAGTCTATACGCATGAGCAAAATGGGCGTGTGGAGCGCCGTCATCGTCATATTGTTGAAACCGGCCTTGCCTTAATGGCTCAGGCTTCTATTCCGTCTAGGTTCTGGGAGTTTGCATTTAAAACAACAGTGTATCTCATTAATAAGATGCCCACTTCTGTTCTTGGCAATGTTAGTCCTCACTTTAAGCTTCACCGCTCCCCTCCGTCATACACTTTTCTTAGGGTCTTTGGTTGTCTCTGTTATCCCTACTTGCGTCTGTATAATCGTCACAAAATGGATTTTAGGTCTACTCCATGTGTCTTCCTAGGATACCCTGCGTCTTTTCGTGGTTATAGATGCATGGACCTGAACACTAACCAGATCTTTGTGTAGACATGTGCGTTTTGATGAGTGCAACTTCCCTTTTGCACGCCTCCATGCTGAGCAGGGCTCGGTGGACAGGTTTGCTACTAGAGTTCCTTGGGGTGTCGCTGGTTTCTCTCGGGCAGTTGTGCTCTCTGCTAGTGCTGTCAATACGGGCTAGCGGGGCGGGGCGGGCCAAAGCCCGGCGGGCCGCGGGCCTAAACGGGGCGGGCTAAAAAAGCCCGCTCCTAAACGGTCGGCAAATTATGCCCTGGACCCATGTCCACATTGAATTGTGGACGCGGGCCCAAAACGACGTCGTTTTTTAAAAAAAACGCGTCATTTAGTTTTAAAAAAAAAAAATCGCGCGCGTTTTGTCATTAACGGCGTTAACGGCGTTTTTTTTTTTTTGGATTATGAATGTACAGTTATGCCGTTATGAATGTACAGTTATTCCATTATGAATATACAGTTATGCAATTATGAAATTATGAACACAGAGCTCTAACATTATGAACTTACAATTATGAACATATATAGTGATAAAATTATGACCATGGAGCTTTAAAATTGTGAATATAGAGCTTCGAAGATTATGAATGTACAGTTATCGAGTTATGAATGTACAGTTATAGAGTTATGAATCTACAGTTATGGAGTTATGAATCTACAGTTATGAGATTATGAATCTACAGTATGGAATTATGAATGTACAGTTATTGATCAAATTATAAACAAAGAGCTCTAACATTATGAACTTACAATTATGAACATATAGTGATAAAATTATGAACGTAGAGCTCTAAAATTGTGAACATAGAGCTTCGAAAATTATGAATGTACAATTATGGAGTTATGAATGTACAGTTATGGAATTATGAATGTACAGTTATGGAGTTATGAATGTACAATTATAGAGTTATGAACGTACAGTTATGGAGTTATGAATGTATAGTTATTAACATATAGTAATAAAATTATGAATATATACTCTTACAATGAAGCGGTCTGAAATTTAAAAAAAAAAAAAAAAAAAAAAAAAAAAAAAGGAGATAACAGTGCCTAACGGCACTGTTACCCGTGTCCAGCAAGCATGCTGGACACGGGTCCAACGCATAACGATTGTAAACGGTCCTGGGTTTGACAGGCCCGGACCGCCCCGCCAGTGGCCCGCGGGCTAGGCGGGCCCCCACCCAAACCCCTTTTTAAAAAAAAAAAAAAAATTGTTCATCAAACATCAAACTAATTAAAATAAATTGATACATAAGTCATAACTCACATAAAACATAATAATCAAACATTAAATATTACATAAAGTTCAAAGTTCATAGTTTATCAAACATCAAACTAGTCACAACTACAAAGTCCAAAAATATTACACAACAATAATTTTAAAGTGCATATTTTATATAAAAATATTTTATATAAAATAAAATAAAATAATGGCTGGTAGCCCGCGGGCGCGGCGCGGTGGGCTTGACGGGCCGCAGGCCTAAGCGAGGCGGGCCAAAAAAGCCCGCTCCTAAACGGTCCTCTATTTTCAAAACCACCCCCTACCTAAGTAGGGGCGGGGCGCGCGGGCCGGCCCGACGGGCTAAACCCGTTTTGACGACTCTACTCTCTGCTTCGCCACCTGATGTTGTTGAGCCATCTTTGCCTATGGTTACGGATGGTGCTTCCAGGCAGCCTGTGCGAACTCGCAAGCAGGTGCGGGGTCAGCCTCATTCTCACTCAATGACTCTACGGCACATGTCTCATGATCAGCCTCACTGTGCTTTGGTGTCTCAGGTTATTCCTCAGGAGCCTACGTGTTTCACTCAGGCTGTTCTCCATGCTAAGGGGAGAAAGGCCATGGATGCGGAGTTTAACGCATTTTTGCACAACCAGACGTGGTACTAATCTCAGGCACATTGAGTACAAATCTCACGCACATTAAGTATAAACCTCACGCACATTAATCCACCGCACATCCGTACAGGAAGCAACAAATGCACCTGATCCCTTCCCTATATATATATATATATATATATATATATATATATATATATATATATATATAAAATTCTCCTTTAATGCTAATTAAGTAAGATACTTACCCTTCAAGCTCTCCAGCTTCCACTAGCCTTTTGAGTTTTGAGCATATTCTCCTACTACCATTATTCCCAATCGAAATTGGTAAATTTTTTTATCAACTCAGCTAAACACAGGTTAGACCTTTGTTTATTTGGCAGTTTGTATAAAGTCTATCACTTTGAGAGATTACTCCACACTGTTATTGATGAGACTCAATCACGAATTATTATTTTGCATTTTATCTAAGTGATCAACTAAGATGTCCATACGTATAATATTTGTTAGCTATAAACAATAGTGGGCGGCAGCTAGGTTAATGGGAATCCGGAATATATACCCTATACTAGTCAGTATAGTAAGATCAAAAGAAAAGCAAATCCTGCATGCACTAAATCATGCATTAGAATAATTATATTCCTTGTCCGGGCGGGGATCGGAAGAGATAAGAGAATCAATCACAGTAAGGAATAAATGTTAATTATATTTGTAGTTAGACATATGCATACATGCTTTCCTCCAAATTATGTCATCTCATATATATATATATATATATATATATATATATATATATATATATATATATATATATATATTGGCATGTTTGGTAAAAAATTGACTTAAAAGTCAATTTTGATTTATTTGATCACTATTAATTATTTAATTTAATTAAAATATTAATATAAGTATTTAGTTAATTAGTTTTTTGTAATTTCAAAATGTTAAAATTCAAAAAGCTATTCCAATTAACTTTTTGAGAAAAGAAATTATATCAAACAGCTATCAACTAACAGCTAATTTACCAAACACTTTTCTACAACAGCTAATGTTACTAACTAGTTATACCATCTAATTAACACAATCAGCTAACAGCTAACAACTATCAACTAACAGCCATTAATCAAACAAGGCCATTGATTCTTTAATATAATTCAACTCGATCATTGTAAACTATATACTTACTTGAACTCTCAAATTTTACTACCTACTTTTATTTCATTCTTTAAAATTTTGATCTTAACATTTTCTTTGAAATCACAAAATGAAAATAACATATCATCTCTTACCACATCAAAAAGTAAAAAATAGGAATCCATGTAGTAAAACTCTTTAAACATACGTACATATATATATACAAATTGCAACTTTTGCATAACTTGTGCGATCAAAATTAGAAATTAATTATTATTATTATTATTATTATATGAGTTGAGTTGAGTTGAGTTCACACGTGGGTGTTGCATTGCGGAGAAGAAGAAGGAAGCAGAGAGAGTTGAGCAGCACCAAATTGTTTGTTAAACCCAACCAGCACGTCACACTCGACACACACGCCATAGCGTCGGCTCTTTATGGCTCCACCCTTGTATCTCAACTTCCCCTTCAACACCACCCTCAACCCCACCATCCCATACGCCTCATCCATCGCCAATCCGTTCATCACCGACACCGACACGGGCACCGGCCCTCTATCCAGCACGAGAGATCGCCACCGTGCTCTTCGCCCCGTGAGACAGCAGGGGCAGGCTCACCGGCGGTGTGATCGCCTCGTTCTTGTACGAAACAAAAGCCGAGAGATGATCGTAGTGGTAGGAGAGGCGGGGGTGGGAGTTCCTGGTGAGGAGCGTGAACTGCATGGTGGCGGACAGGAGAGGCGGAGACGTGAGGTTGAGCTGGTAGATGGCGAAGCTTACCAGCGTGAAGTTGGGCTTGGTGGGGCGGTAAATCAGCCATAGGATGAGGAGAGTGATGGCAGCTAAAATCAAGAAAATAAGGAGGAAAGCGCACAGGGCTCTGCCTGCGCCGCCGTACTTGTGCTTCTTCTGCTCCTCACCATCTCCCATTTCCTTACCTTTAATTAGTTACAAGCTTGCTAGCTTCAATTCTTCAATGGAAGTATCTATCAGACATCAAATAAAGTTGCGGTGGGCATATATGCAAGTGACGCCAGACAACTAAAAAATACTCCCTCCGTCCCGAATTGGTTGTCTCATTTGCTTTTTGCACGCTTTTTAAGGAATTAAAGTAAATGTTATGTATTTTCCAATTATGCCCTTCACTTTTTCACTTTTGAGAATAAAAGCAAAAGTCATAAGGGTAATTTGGGAAAAAGTAGAATGATGGTGATGTTCAATTTTGGAAAGAGGACAACATTTTGGGACAAACTAAAAAGGAAAGTAAGACATGCAAAATGGGACAGAGGGAGTATATAAGAATAAGAATATATATATATATATATATATATATATATATATATATGGAACTATGGAAGGTATCAGGTGCATTTGTGGCTTCTGGTGCGATTGATTAATGTGCGTGAATTTTATATGTGCATGAGTCTTGTGCTTAATGTGCTTGAGATTTGTACTTAATGTACGTGAGTGTGTAATATTAATGTTCGTGAGTTTTGTACTTAATGTGCCTGAGTATTGTGCTTAATGTGTGTGAGGTTTGTGCTTAATGTGCGTGAGTTTTAATACAATGGAAGCTATAAACAAAATACATTCAGACCACAAACTCAAAGAGATGGGAAGAGAGGATTAAGGGAAAAGAGGAAAATTGTTTTATTAGGAAGAGAAGACGAAGACGAAGACGTATATGATGAAGAACAGAGAGAGTGGAAGAGAGGATTAAGGGAATATGAAGAGAAGACGAAGACGTAGACGTAGACGAAGACATATATGGTGAAGAATAGAGAGAGAGAGGAAGAGAGGATTAAAGGTAGGAAGGGAAGATGAAGACGAAGACGTATATGTACAAGAGCAACAGGAGCACATTAAACATTATTCACTCACGCACATTAAGCACACAACTCATGCACCTTAGGCACAAGATTCACACACCTTAAGTACAAAACTCACGCACATTAACATTAAACACTTACGCACATTAAGTACAAATCTCAAACACATTAAGTACAAGACACACGCACATTGAGTACAAAACTCACGCACATTACGGGAAGCATTCAACCGCACTGAAACCTTTCACTATATATATATATATATATATATATATATATATATATATATATATGGGCAAATTATACCATGAATCAAGATCTACTTTGCATTATAGACCCTAATAAAAAAATACATGTAATTAATTGTTTTTATATCTATAAACAAATTGGAGGTAACTGCATATACAAAATATGTTAATTGTAGACAGATAAAATGTTAACCAACATCTTATTTGTCTCCAATTAACATATTTTGTATTAACTGATAACAATTTATATTTATGTAATTATCATGTTATGTTATGTGTCTGTAATTACTAATCCATGGTATAATAATTTAATACGTTCGTCAAGCCGACGACAAGTGAGATAAGATCGAAAACAATAAGGTACGTAGTAGTCGTGGTCGTAGGACAAAGCAGAGTCATAACTTATAAGCCCGCCCAATTTTGGCAAAGTTACGTTACGTTGTGCAAGAGGCGTGAAACGTGACTCCTTATGGGTTACTCTCAATTTCGATCTTAATTTGTTTGTGTCATCGCTCTTTCCTCTTGAACTGGCTGGTTTCCCGCAAAATATGGCTTCTCTCTCTCTATCTTTTATTGCATTATTATATTATTATATTATTATATTATTGGAAAACAAATTAAAATATCATTTTTTTTGAAAGGAAGTTAAAATATCATTAGAATATTACATCATTATTATGATTTATATATAGAGGCTAATTAATACCTAGGCTGGGGTGTGAAAGTGAGCTAAAATTACTCCATAGTAAGGCAGGTTAGGGTTACTGTAATTAGAGATTACGAAAATGTGAGCCAAATAACGGGACTGCCAGACCCTACACATTTTTTTTTTTCAATAAATGTTAATTCACCAATTCGCCTAAGTGCCTAATTGGTTAACTCTACTACTGCTTGGAGCCACAAACAAAAATACAAAATCACTGCCCACCTAAGTGTCTAACCGTCTTCTGGCCCAATGTGTAGTCTAAAATGAATCGCTCGCTGAAGGTCGAACACAGTTACATAGTCTATGCATTGCCGCTCGTCACCAGTATCGACACGACGGGTGAATATTTTGTCACTTTCTCTAATTTTTAAAATTTTTAAAATAAAAATAAAAACTTTCATTATTGGATTTAAAAGTTTGTGTGAATTGTAATTGTGTGTTTGTTTTTTTTGGTTTATAGTTTATGTTGTTGATTTTGTTGGCTTGTTGCTTTTGATTTTATCTCGTTGTTGTTAATTACGTGTTTATTGTTTTTGCATTAATATATGTCATCATGTTAATTTCAGCTCGATATACAATGTATTTGTCTCAAGAATAAAGTTCACCTTAAGCTGAAATGACAAGTGATACTGAAGAAACACAACCTCCATAATTTTTAGATTTAAGTGGAAGTCAAGAAAGATGTATAAGTCACCCTCCGATCTCGCCAGTAAATAAACGCCGATGAACTCTTCATCTGAGAAAGAAACATTGTTAGCGCATATCGTAAACTAGGTCAGCTAAGATTTCAGTAAATTTGTTCGATTCTTTCCACATTAAAACATGCCGTTTAAGGATCTTTGAATTTCTAATCCAGAATCAGAGATTAAGCGTTTGGAGTGAGGAAATCCTAGAGAGAAGTAGCTTCTCACCGGTGCATTATATTTTAGAGAGAGACTGACATTGAGAAATGAAGATAGTTGTCTGATCTCTAATGTTGTTGTTGTTGATATTTTGTTCATTATTATTATTATTATTATTATTATTATTATTATTATTATTTGTTTATGCTTTTTTTAATTAGTATTATCATGTACAGTAATATTAACATTAATAATAACATTAGAGATTAGTTTTGTTGTAACCTGATACTGCTAATTCTACGCGAGCAATATTTAAATAATACCCGAGACCAACTAAAGCAAGTAAATATCTTTATTGATCACGGTAGAGACCCTAAGTACAATCTACTTGGTTGCTCTGAGTGCCGACTGACTGCGGTCGGGATTCTCTAATAACAACCTATCGATCGTCCAAAAGTCCCCTACACTGTAGCTATTGTGGGTATTTATAGCCGCTGCGCCGGAGACACAAATCCGATCGTTCGGCATGCTCTCCACGTAGCCACCACGTGTCATCCTCCCGGGTGCCCTATCTGTCGCCACAGAGAACCGCCACGTGTCCTTTATCAGCTCCCTCGCCAAAGGGCTACCGCTCGGTGGTTGACACTACCGCTCGGGAATTCCCGGTAGCTTCCCGACCGGGTTCTTCATAAAAAGCCCGACCTGCTATCTGCAAAGACAAAAAGACAAAGACAAAGGCACCTCGGTCGTGGTAGAGCTATGGCGGTCGGGATATTCCCTACCAAAAGCCCCCCAGCCCGGGCCTTTTTGACCGTCCGGGAAAAAACGGGACGGGATGAAGAAGCCCAACCGTCGGCCTTCAAACCGACCAGCCAGCTGTCATTCCATCCCTCGCCACGTGTCGGCCACTGCCGGCCTCGGCGACTGCAACGGTTGCCTCGGAATCAGTGCTGGTCGTGTCACGCAAGTGGACTCGTTTTCCCGCCTAAATGCTCTCCTTTAAATAGGCCCTTGAGGCCTTCATTTGAACTTTCCTCAATCCACTGAAGCAATCGGTACCCTCAGAGAGTCCCGAGCAGCAGTTCAGCGAACCAATCGAGCAAACCAAACTTCAAGTTTTCTTCCAAGTATCATCAACCGGTAAGCTCTTAATCCCTTATCTTTTTCTCCGTTCTTAAATTTGCGTAGGAGTAGGGTAGAACTAACTTCGAACTAACTTCCCGAACCCTGTACTAACCCCGACCGACCTTTAGGTAGAAAAATATGTCGGATTCGGATAGCCAGAACGCTTCAGTCGCAGACTACGACAACACGATCGAGCAGAGCAGCGAGGAGGTGGACATCATGTCTTACTCTCCAGAGGTCAAGCAACGACCACAGCACATACCTGACCGAGCCCCCGGGCCAGAAGGGTCATCGAGCTCGTCGGGGACATCCGGGTCGAGCTCCAGCGGGTCGGGGAGCGATGAGACGTCCACGAGCGGACGAAATTCCCCGGATGCAGGCGTTAGGGAAACGCCTACGAGGGTAATAGGGGATTACCCTCAAGCTGAGCCCGAGGTGGGACACCGGGCAAACGAAACGGAAGCGGTCGAGGAGGACCCGGCCGGGTCGGCGACGCCAAGCGGGGACGGGTTTGAGTTCCTCAACAGCGAGAGCGTCGAAGGCCAGATGAGCTTGCTGACGAAAGGGGAAGCAAGCAGAATCGCGGCAATTCTCGCCGGTCGGGTCGAATTCGACACCAGCAGGCAGCTCGGGAATATCATCGAGCGGCACCGGGGGAAGTAGCTCGGGATGCATTACGATTCGTTAATGGCCCCGATCTCGTTCCCCTTCTCCAGCCTCCTCACCGCATTCCTGGGTTACTACCAGGTCGTACCCGGTTAGATCTGCCCGAACGCACATCGGATGATTGCGTGCTTCCCCTAAATTTGTAGTCGGCACAACTTAGCCTGCACCATGGAGCTCTTCAACTTCGTCTACCAAGTGAAGGTGCTGGCAGCCGCATACGGGGGTGGATTCCTGATGACGCAGTCCCGAGCAGATAAGTGCTCGATTGAGGGGCTGCCCGGGAACAACCGGGGGTGGAAAAATCGGATCTTTTCGGTAAAATATGATCCGTGGATCCTCCCGGTCGAGAGGGTCTGGAGCCAACATTTTCGAAGGCAAGTCATCCCAGTCGAGACCCAAGCCCTCATAGATGCTGTGACCAAGATCTCGAGCGAGATTTACGAGTATCGCATCTTCAAATCGCCCGAGTGCTACGAAGCGGCCCAGCTACCCGACCCGGTTTACGACCTGGCCGAAAAATACAAACCCGAGCCGGCGGGTGTAACAATTGCAAGGATGCCCGCTCGGGGCAAAAGGAAGGGTAAAGGTTCGAGGCTAACTACTTTCCCCGACCCTTAATATTCTGACCGC